CAATGAACATATCTGAATCGGGATACATTGTGAGGCCTTCGCTACACATTGATGCGACCCGTGAAGATCCGGGGTAGAATAGGTCTTCAGGAACCCATGCTTGCCGTAAAAGGCGACTTTGGTTGTCTTAAGAGGCGACTAACGGGGATCGGGTGGTCAGGCTCGCTGACTCACTGGGTTGTCTGGTCCAGGCTCGATTATTTACAGACCGCCGCCATACAGCTGGAATGTTGCTGAGTGCGGCGTTAAACATCAAACACACAAACAACCATGTGGAAGCACAGTCTCCACGCACATGCTTTAAGTGCCATAATGCTTTCACACACACAGCTAGCTATCGTTATTTAAACCATGGCTGCTTTGTCTTTGACCGTGGCCTGACTAACTGAATTATAAGTTAAACACAACTTGGCAATGACGGAACTTCTTTTTTCCTCCATCTTTTAATTGTCTTGATGATAGAACAATTTCATGAAAAACTTTTATCGCCAGCGGGATTCGAACCCGCGAAATCCGCACTGAAGGCTAACGAATGTAGTCTTCTGCTACGGCGACATGGGAGATATTGTATGGAATTAACAACTAAATATTTACTTACATCAGTACCAATTGCTTATCCCTGTATGAATTGCGAAATGTGTTTTATGCAATTTTTATACAGTATGTTACTCTAGTATTTGTACAGTACTTGTGATTTTGTAGCTTTTCGTTCTACGAAACCAGAGACCACATAATAGATAGTATATGGTCTCTGACGAAACGAACAGATAGAAAAGAAATGACTATTATCTTGATCAGGGCTATGTTTGCTCATAATAGGCCCATCAACATGGGCAAGTAATATTTGGTTGATTGATAAATGTGCTCGAGTTGGTCCAAAATGAATGGTATACTTGCCCCGGGACATGCATTTCATAACCCACATCGGCAAAGTGCGAGGTGCACGTGCAAAAGGCTGGGGACACATTTCACGTTCTTCACGCAGGACCGACTCACACAGTGTTCTCACAGTTGAGCATAGAGTTCCTGAATATCTTTCAAAATACCTTTAACAAAACAATGTTTTTTTAAGCATTTTAGGTTCCATAAATGTTGGACATGGTTTAAGTACGTTAGACCACTCGGACCCAAGTGTCTAATCGTTGAAATGGTTGATTGCTGTGCGCCTCGTGGTTTAGCGAACCCTTTCAACGATCAGACACTGGGTCCTCGTGGTCTAACCTATACATAACGTTTTCGTAACAAACCGAAGTATCTTTAGAACCTAAGATAAAAATTGTTCCTGCAAGCAATCTCGAGACGTTTCTCAAATATCACAAGTATCACACGTGTATTTGATAGTGACATCTTGGTTTACCTGTAATATGCGATCTGCCCCGGCTATGCGGCTGTGTTGCGCGCGATAGCACTCATATCTCCCCTCCCATTAGAGCAACATGCAGAGGGGAATCACGTTTCAAAAGTGCCAAAATAATGGTAATAATTTCACAGGTGGCGTTGTTAAAAACAAATTAGACATATTTATCCCACATACATTTAACGATATATGAACAACACGTCAGTCACATGGTAGAAGAAGGAAAAAGTTAAGAGATCGTTCTGGGGAAATATGTCCGCGTTACGTGAAGGCGGGATCTACATGGCAGATAACAGGAGGTTTTGGGGGAGATTAATTGCATCATTTATTGCAGCAACAGGATGAGGCAGCTGAAGAGGGATGCTATCTCCCTCCCCACAACGCCACACAGCTGCCCTATTCGCGACACTTTCACACAGTGCGTGCAGAGAGATAGGCATTACACACAGAAAGGCATTGTTACTTTTTGGAAAGAGCGACCTACATAACATGATGCGTGGAGACAGAGACCTCATTAATCCAAGAGAGACACAATTACATGATGTAAACAGAGGCCTGATTACGCGATGTTTACTGACTGACAGTTCACTACTCAAAGAGTGAGTGAGTGAGTGAAAATTTAACGTCAGATCGGCACATTTCAGTCTTATCGTGATGAGTAAGAGAGATACACGAGAAACTAAGGACACACTTTACGCACTTTGAGAAACTAATGACACTTTACGCACTTTGAGAAACTAATGACACTTTACGCACTTTGAGAATGTAACGACACACTTTACGCACTTTGAGAAACTAACGACACTTTACTCGATTTGAGAAACTAATGACACTTTACGCGATTTGAGAAACTAATGACACCCTTTGAGAAATTAATGACACTTAACGCAATTTGAGAAACTAATGGCACTTTACGCGATTTGAGAAACTAAGGACACTTTACGCACTTTGAGAAACTAATGACACTTTACGCACTTTGAGAATGTAACGACACACTTTACGCACTTTGAGAAACTAACGACACTTTACTCGATTTGAGAAACTAATGACACTTTACGCGATTTGAGAAACTAATGACACCCTTTGAGAAATTAATGACACTTAACGCAATTTGAGAAACTAATGGCACTTTACGCGATTTGAGAAACTAAGGACACTTTACGCACTTTGAGAAACTAATGACACTTTACGCACTTTGAGAATCTAACGACACACTTTACGCACTTTGAGAAACCAACGACACTTTACTCGATTTGAGAAACTAATGACACTTCACGCGATTTGAGAAACTAATGACACCCTTTGAGAAATTAATGACACTAAACGCAATTTGAGAAACTAATGGCACTTTACGCGATTTGAGAAACTAAGGACACTTTACGCACTTTGAGAAACTAATGACACTTTACGCACTTTGAGAAACTGATGACACATTACGCAAATTGAGGAACTAGTCACACTTTACGCACTTTGAAAAATTAACGACACACTTTACACAATTTGAGAAATTCATCACACACTTTACGCAAAATGAGAATCTAATGACAAACTATATCATAATAATATAAAGTCCATTGATAGTGCGCCAGTTTCCATTCACCCGGTGAATACTCATGGCGCTATACTGAGTTGACCCCGGTCTTTGTATCAGCGTGCACTCACACGCCATTCTCAGCTCCATGGGAGGTATACAGTTTGTGAATAAATACATAAAGTGTAGCTCGTGAAATATAACATAAAGATAGTAGCACTCGTTACATACTGCCCCACAGAGAACACCAGGTTAGATTTGACCCCCAGCAACCTGTGCTGGTCGTAACAGGAGACTATACGGACTGGGTGGTCAGGCTCGGTGAGTTGGTTGTTTGCGTGTCATCGTACCCCCGTTGCTCATGATATCGATCACTGGATTTAGTGGTCTAGATTTGATTATTTACAGGCCGATGTGATACAGCTGGAACGTTAAACAACAAACAAACAAACAAACAAACAACATACCACTTATAGACAGATACAAGTGGTTATAATATGTACATTCACATACTCTCACCAGACATGCTGGTGATACTGACTGTATACAAAACAGGTTGTGAGGTGAAATGGGGTTTAACGTCACATTCATGTGTGTGTGTGTGTGTGTGTGTGTGTGTGTGTGTGTGTGTTTGTGTGTTTGTGTGTGTGTGTGTGTGTGTGTGTGTGTGTGTGTGTGTGTGTGTGTGTGCACTAATCCGGACTAGTTGTATAGTGGAAACCCATTGAGATACCATGCTGCAGTTTGAACATGGATATCCCACTCAGACACAGTATACTGACTCCGAGCCGAGCAGTCCTTCTTTCATCCCATAAATGCCAAACGCCAGGCAAGCTAACATCAAGCACCATCTTTTAAATACTTTTTGTATGACGTGGCCAGGGAATAGAACTCCCGACCTTCCATTCTCCAGGCACGTGCTCTATCCAATAAACCACGAGGCAGGCATATAAACAATATCTCGTTAAATACCGTTTACAGATTAGAAGTGAGTGAATGAGTATGGTTTTACGCCGCTTTTAGCAATATTCCAGCAATATCACGGCGGGGGACACCAGAAATGGGCTTTACACATTGTACCCATGTCGGGAATCGAACCCGGATCTTCGGCGTGACGAGCGGACGCTTTAACCACTAAGCTACCCGACCGCCCCTACAGATAGAAACGCACGGTACATACTGCACAAAGATTGCACCATTCGTTACGTGACGCAAGCAGATGACGAGATATCAACACATGCTCTGCTCTGATTATAAGCCTAATTCTTTCAGCGGCCACGGTTCGTATGACCGCAGACTGTTAAATTCAGTGACAATGTTATCGCGAGACGAATCTGTTATTGCGTGTAATGTAGCTACTATATGGCATGCTCAGAACAGCCTAACCGAGGTATTAACGTTCTATAGTGATCGGGTTAATGCCATGGGCGTACTTGAAACATGAACATATTGGTGGCCTGGTCAAACCTCTAATGAGTCACGTCAAGATACATCTCATGTTGTAGAGATGGCATACTTGTCTGTCATACAGACCCTGAAACAAATATATCCAATACAGCCCATGCAAGTCTATATTTAGCAAGTCTAGATAACTGAAAATGAAGAGACTCGTAGTCTGTCATACAGACCCTGAAATAAATATATCCAATACAGCCCATGCAATTCTATAATATTTAGCAAGTCTAGATAATTGAAAATGAAGAGAGTCTATCTCTGGGCTCCTTTTTACTATTTTTCATAAATGTAATTTAACAACTGTTTAATCCGTAAAATATGTTCATGTGACTGACGAGATGTTAGTCTAGTAACATACAATCGAGAACATTTCTCAGAACAATTCTACATTACAGGATTAGAACGACCATGTTGGTCGCGATGTGTGTGTATTGTATACCATTCTATACAGAAATCCCTGGTTTTATTTCTTCCACCTGTATGCGTGCTTAGAGCAGCCTTCATAGACGCTGCCGTATATCTGCATGAGATTCCTGACAGTGGTGAGCGATCTACGAGGGCCTGTTTCACAAAACACCGATACACACACTGTCTACCTGGACTGATAACAGTAATATACTATCTCAACTATTCCCATCTGACCATGGGTGTACATACCTCTCTGTCTGTTTGAGGTCCTAGTATCAAGGGAGGGTGTGTAAGATCCTCTGTAGACACTCAGACTCTGCCAGGAGTAGGATCCCGGGGGTCACCTGTCGGTCTCGTCCGCTGTCGGAACTCGCTCAAACTAGCTCCTTTCTGTGTTGGCGAAACATCCACAGAACTCCAGCTTAAGCTACAAGTGTCTCTTTCCTCGATGTTTACAGTTATGAGTAAACACAGGACGTGAGAATCTCGGATAACACGGACGGACGAACGGACAATGCGAAGTCGTTACCGTTAGATGGCTGAGCACCCGAACCAGCCTACAGTACTTATTGGGCGATCCTGGCATCGGTGTTTGGTTTCGTGACGTCAGACGCGCGCAGTAGCGCGAGCCAGGCACGCGCCCGGCAATGGTTAAGTCGGCCATGGTGGTAGCTCTCCCCTATCTATCTGAGTGTATCTCATGGATTCCTCTGCATCCACTCAGGTTGTCTCTCTCCATCATTTTATGTCGGCCATAACACTGGTGGCAACTGTGCTGTCGTCGCCGCGAGTCGCCCGAGACGGCTGAAGAAACAGGTTGATGCAAGGTGTGTGTCAGTGTCCTTGTCCGTGATATGTCGCATAAAATGATGACACAGTTGCCTTATTAACGATATATGATAATATCATAGTTCTTTTAATTACAATGTGTGAGACAACGGGTGTGTATGTAAACACGATACAGGAGGTCGTCTTTCTTCGCAGATACAGTTCCTCAGAGTAATAGTGCTGAAATATTGATAAAAAGGTACGTGGGGAGGGGACGGTCATTTATGTGTGTGTGTGTGTGTGTGTGTGTGTGTGTGTGTGTGTGTGTGTGCGTGCGTGCGTGTGTGTGTGTCACAGTCATGGCGCAGGACTAGACAATGGGCAGACGGACCCTTTAAAATATATATCTCTTCCCGACCATTATATCACGCACACCATTTCTATTTCATCCCCCTTCTCACCCCTATAAGCATGTTTGTCCCCTTTTCAGATCTGAAATAAAAGGGGGTCCATAATAGAATTATTTTAATTGAACCTAATCCGAAACGGTTTTTTTATGACTTGTGGTGCGAGGCAACTTAATTGTTGGATGGTCAGGATCGTGCTGGTCTGGTGACGTGGATGACGTGGTCAATCGCTGATCGGGGGTGGTCGGGTAGCATGCTGGTTAAAGCTATCGCTTGTCACGCCGAAGACCCGGGTTCGATTCTCGACATGGGTACAATGTGTGAATCCCATTAGCGATATTGCTGGAATATCACGGTAAGCAATAGCAGATACTCCCTTCTACAGATCGAGGATAGGTGGGGGTGGGGGGTTTGGGGTTCAGGAAATGATTCGACCTGATTGGTTCCTAAAGCTAGTGTTGACAGTTTGAAGTGGCTCCGATTTGTCTCCGTGCGTCAGCCGCACAGTGTGTTTTCCGAACAGAGAGAAGTCCTGCAAAGTTCGTGATGATAATGGATGTTATAATGCGCAGAATCCACCCACTGACGCGTGCTCACGGCACTGTTTTATGATCCCGATCAATGGAGTGAGTGGGTTTGATTTTTCGCCGTTTTTAGCAATATTCCAGCAATATCACGGCGAGGGACACCAGAAATGGGCTTCACACATTGTACCCATGTCGGGAATCGAACCCGGGTCTTCGGCGGAGTATACAACCCACGCTACCGTATGGACGTTAGGCGGGTTCACAGTCACATTTCCATCTCATCCTCCCGGGTACCCTGTTCACTGCTGGGGGATACAGGAGCATATTCGAACAGTCACTTGCCTGTGGAGACTCAACCGGTAGGTCAACTCAACTCAAAGCTCCAGATACTCTCAGGATTCAACTTGTCGAACACGGTCACCCATCCACCTACTCTCCGCAAACCAACGTTGCATAACTTGATCAGGGAGTCTATGTCGACTTGTATAGTCTCCGTGGCTTGGTGTTGCTTGATTTGTGACCTTTGCGCTGTGCACAGGACCACGATTGAGTGAGTGATCATTGTTTGACGCCGCATCAGCAATTTTGCAGATATAGGCGTCCAGATATGTGTCTAATCGCAGACAAATATCACATTCAAGGACACAGGACCACGTACCAGGATGAGATGAGGTGGACACATATTGCCAAGCAGGCGGTATAAAGTATCCTTGTCCTCATTCTATTATAGTGATAATACGATACTGATATATACATATTGACACATGTCCATCCCCCATACAAAATACCATTGAGATAGACAGAGGGGGTACGTGTGGCCCAGTCGTCTATGGCGCCGAATTCGCTGTACAGAGTTACGTCCCTTGGACACGCCAGAAACCCATGAATGTGGGTTCGAATTCCGGTTCGCTCAGATTATGTTTCTAGGTTTGTCAGCACCATACCCGTGCTTGTGGGTTTCACTAAAGTGGTAAACGTCTGATACCTGCATCACTTCGGGCTCTCCTCCCACATTAAACTGACACGCCGTGATATAACTGGAATACTGTTAAAAGCGGCGTTAAACCCAACTCACTCACTGTGATAAACGTCCCGTGAAGATTCCTGGTTAGAACTGGTCTTCTGCAACCCATGCTTGTCGTAAGAGGCGACTAACTTGATCGGGTGGTCAGGCTCGCAGATTTGCTTGATGCATGTCATCGTATCCCAACTGCGTAAATCGATGCTCATGATGTCAATCACTGGATTGTCTGGTCCAGACTCGATTATTTACAGACCGGCGTCATATAGCTGGAATATTGCTGAGTGCGGCGCTAAACAACAAACATCATCACATCACTGTGGTAGACAGATGCCAATATTTATCGACGGTTTACCTACTCTGCAGTGTTACGACAATTGTACCACACAATATCATTGTTTGAACACAACGTAGGCTGTCCACTGCCAGCTACATAAACTACAATGAAACACCAAGTACATTGATACACGTGTGAGGAACATATTTGTTGATGAAAGTAAAAGTATAGTAAAAACGTCCATAAAATACCTCGTCCGGCAAGCATTCAACTAGCAAAGTGGAGTTACCTCCCTTCCTTCAGACGCCTGCCGTTGTTCGACGATCTTGTATGACAGTTGACGTTTTTCAGATTTCCGTACATGTCATTAGGTTAATTAAAAGGTCATGCATTGCTATCGATGTTTCCACCATCCTGTCTTTGCCCGAAAGGGCAAAATATATCGGTGTTTGGTTCCCATAGTGTTTGTGGGCGACATATAGCATGGAGATGTGCCGACACACTGACACTGGAGTGGTTGGTTGAGTTGGGTTTAACGCCGCTTTTAACAGTATTCCAGTTATATCACGGCGTGACACTGGAATGAAATATGGAGCTAGGCCTATACAGTAGCGAGAAGGTTTGACAGTACTGCAGCAAAATAGTTAACAGGATTAAACTGGTGGTCGTGATGGAGAATCCAGCTGTGGTTTCCCCGCATTATTCCAGCTGTATGACTGCGGTTAGCAAATAAGCCAGTCTGGACCAGACAATCCAGTGATTGATATCAAGAGCATCGATCCACGCAATTAGGATACGACGACATGCATCAACTAGGTCAGCGAGTCTGACCACCCAATCTTACGAAAAAGCCTTTTACGGCAAGCATGGGTTGCTGAAGACCTATTTTAACCCGGATCTTCACGGGTCGTATATTCTCTCGTTGTATGGATCAATGTGTTGAATCGAACCCGGATCTTCACCACATAATTTACTTAACCAACAACATAATTAATCAATAACGGCCTAGGACCAATAATGCGTCCTTTATATAGTGCATCCTATGCATATGGTGGCTGTGGTTAAAGATGTGTGTGTGTGTGTGTGTGAGAGAGAGAGAGAGAGAGAGAGAGGGAGCCTTTTAAACAGACGACAGTAAGAAACGATTGGTTTCAGAGATTTCCTGGTTTTATTTCGGTTTATTTATTCCAACAAACATTATCACCAACAAACAATGGAATGTTTTAATGAAAATTTAACAAAATCTATCTTACAAACACCGCTTCGTCAGAGGATAATGATGTACACTTGTAGAAAACAGTTACCAAGAGCGAACGGCCTCCACGCTCAAGACGCACATAACATATCATAGGTTGCGTTTGAGGACATATAACGACATTTGCTCTTTTATTAATAATAGTCCGTGTAATCTGTAAAAGTAGAAATATGATCAAGGAAACCTTTTCTGAACTACGTGAGTTGAGTACGTGAAGATCACAGATAGCTCGTGCAGTTAGTTTGTATTTAAATTCAATCAGTTCATCTCATTTGTTATAGACCTAAGAACAAATGCACGGCAAAGCATATCTGTTAGTACATTATATACCTATTATAAAAATAGTCTGTCGATTTAGTTGACGTTGTTGTCAATTAGACGAAAATAATCTAGGATATAACATTCTAGGCCGTGATATACTTCGTATAGTCACAACAATCCAAACTCTTGAAAGACATTTGTATGGTTGTATGGTTGCATCGTCACCGTGCAAGCTATAGATTCTGACAGCACTATTGCACTAAGGGACAGCACTCTTGCACTAAGGGACAGCACTCTTGCACTAAGGGACAGCACTCTTCGCTGCCTCATATTATTTTCTCCTATTTCAAAATCATTTATGAAAGTAAACGTGATTTTGCTGTAAGCTTGTTACAAGAATAATGACTATAAAAATACAATAATCAAAAATAGCAATATACAGTAGTACATATTTGAGTCACGATACGCCAACCTTTCGTACGTATCATACGTAATTTGAGCCGATTATGCGCAAAAGTCTCCATGTTCCAAGCGTCCTTGCCAAAAGCAGGTTGTTGCTATTAACCAGTTTTGTATTTAACCCCTACGACTGGTTAATTTAGGCTCGTTCTAAAAATATTTTGCAGATATATTTAGTTTTTTCTTTGTTGCGTGACCATCCTTACCATCAGGCGGAGTTATCGTAAAACTTCGAAAACAGTATTTCTTGAAATTCAGAATTAAAGAAACAAACATCAATAAATGCATGGTGTTTCGAATCGCAAGGTTTAATACAAATTGCGATACAACGATTCATAGGGGAGCCTTGACACACCTGGTGACGCACATGTATGTTTCCTGGAATTCTCATAAATGACGAATCGGATACATTTCAGAAAGCCTCAATTATGTAAGTAGCAATTGTACATGGATAATTATATTAGTGAGCGATGATATACAAAAACACAGCATAGTAGTAGCATAGTAACGGACTGATCATAAATTTTACGGGGGTTGAAATTAAGGGGTGGTCATAAAAAACATAACATAGTGAAAGTGGGACAAATAAAAAAAGGTTAAATAAGTTGGGTGTGTCACCAATAGATGATGCAGTCCAATCACCTCACCCCCCCCCCCCCCCCCCCCCTAATAATACATGACCAGTCCTTAAAGTAGCATGGCAAGTGGTATTTACAAGATCCAGCGGTCCAGGGCACCGTTCCACAAAGTGATCTTAGCGTCTTACTTATCTTAAGCCAGTGTGAAAGTATGAGAGTTATGATCACCTTAGAGACAAGATGGCTTTGTGGAACGGGGCCCAGCTCGCTATACTCTGAGCATTTTAATATCAAACTGAAAATGAGCGAAAAGAAGGATAGCGTCAGGGTGTATTATCTGAGCTGGGTTTCGTCTCCATTTATCAGTGTCGGTGTACAAAGGGAGACAAGCCATCTCAGTCTTGCCCGAGTTGTGTCCCCTAAATCCGGTAAGTCGGGTTGTCGATGCCGAGTTTGACGTCCACGTCGTCGGCATCCAAGGGGGATTTGTCTTCCTCTCCCATAGCTTCCTCCTTCTTCTCCGGGATGACCTCGTTCTCGTACACTGGGGGCTTCTCCTTGTAGGCTGGGGGCATGGGCACTCCCGTTAGTGAGTAGATGGCGTTCTCGTAAGCTGGGGGAGGTGGTGTGGCTTGAGGCTCCCGGCGACGGTGGCGACGACACAGCACGGCAATGATGATGATGACAACGACGAGGAGGAGGAATGCGATGCCACTTCCGATAAACATGAGGGCTTTGTCCTTGGTATAACTGTCATGGTTTTTGTTAATGAGCGCGGCTGAAAAAGAAAAGAAAGAGGTGAGTGAGCGAGTGAGTGAAGTTAATCATATCATAATACGTCATATCATTGTACGTCATAGCAGTATTAACAGGTTAAAACAATGTATGTATTTAGTAGGGACAAAAATTTAACTAGACCGCCTCCCTGGTCTAGTGGATAGAGCGTCTGCCCGGAGAGCGGAAGGTGGGTGGCTCCATCCCCTGGCCGTATCATATCAAAAGACGTTAAGGATTGTAATAGCGGATATTGTTACCCTGCCTAGCGCTTGGAGTGAGTGAGTTTTACGCCGCTTTTAGCAATATTCCAGCAATATCACGGAGGGGGACACCAGAAATGGGCTTCACACATTGTACCCATGTCGGGAATCGAACCCGGGTCTTCGGCGTGACGAGCGAACGCTTTAACCACCAGGCTACCCGACCGCCCCTCCCTAATATTCTTTGCGTTCATGTTTCCATTAACTGAAAAAATTTGTTAGGCTACGCCCACTAATGGATTATAGTTTCCTGATTGGCTGATAAAAGAATGGGCGGGGCTTGTGTTGCATTATTGCACTGAACGACGCCACTGATTTCGTATTGTTCTCTGCAAGTTTTTATTTTAATGTGCAATCAGTTATAATTTTTGGCGCGGATTTACACAGTGCGCGCGTCTTTTTTATGTTTATACCTCTGTAAGCGCAAAAAAATATTGAAGTCAATTCTGAAGTAGCACATTCCAATTGTGTTAGGTACGTCACAACATGATCAAAAGCCTACTCCGACCGAAAATTGAGCATCTTACCGCTTTCTGGGACCTTGACAAAGAAGTGGCAGCGGGCGATGTTCCCTTCGTAGTCTTCGGAGATATAGACAACAGGGTGATCTCCCTTCTTGAAGTAGTCTCCGGACTTATGGCGGGAGATGGGGGGACGGACGAGCCCCACGTTATCCTCTGCCTGGGGCATTTCCCACGTGGCCTGTCCCTCCTTGGGCAGGTAGACGTCCGTCGGGCAGAAGGTGAAGTTGGGCGCGTGGACGTCTGGGGAGACAACATCGTTGTAGTCAAGGTCGTGACCATCACATCAATATTTCTGCAAACGCTCTCTAAGAACGTCCAATTTAGTTTTTATTTCAGCCACGCTGTTTAATAAAGGAAATCGGAAGTAAACTCCCGTGCAAAACAAAGTATACATCAGGGTATTATTGTTGTGTCTTGGACATTAAGTTTACAGTGTTTCGGCGACGGTTTTCAACCTAGTCACTCACTCACCCAATTGAAACATTTTGTTGATTTGTTTTCAGGGTGGTTTTCGCAAAGGATATTCCACCATCGAAAACAATTTTACATTGCAAAGTATTATACAAAAGTATATCTCCAAAACTAAAGGTAGTTTTTATTGTTCATTTGTTGATTTCCGTAAAGTTCACACCTACCAGGGATCGTTGAAAGTCGTTCGTTACATCCGTAGTTCGTGAATTCGAAATGATGCTAAGTAGAGATGCAGTTTGGCTCTGTGGTCTAATGCGCCGCAATTCGCTGTGCAGAGTTGCGTCCCTTCTGCACGCAATGAACCTGTGATTGTAGGTTCGAATCCCGATTCACCACGATTATGTTTCTAGGTTTGTCAGCACCATAGCCAAGCTCGTGGTTTCACCCAAAAAATTAATGGTCTGAGACCTGCATCATTTTTCCTCCCACATATTTGACGCGCCGAAAAATAACTGGAACACGGTGTTGAACCAACTCGCTCTATCACTCACTCACACTATAACTATTTCTGCGCCATTACTGACAGATCAGGTGCACCAAGCTCACACTATTTAAAGCAACATACCTCGGATTCTGACATGGAACTTGCAAAGAGCGAAATTTCCCCTAGCGTCCCGGGATGAGGTAGCGATGACAATATCGTAGTTCTGCCCGCCAATGCCTGCCGTGAACACTGTTTTGGGCAGTAGGACAGCGAGGACCGCGCCCTTGTGATCACGTGCGTGCAACATCAGGGGCGGCAACCGTGCCTCGTTCTTGTCGTGAGCGACATCGATTGTGACGAGCACCACGGGGCAGTTGAGGAAGCGGGGCTCTGTTGAACAGACAATTGATAATCATGCCTCAGACTGTTGAAAATATATAGAAATTGTTTGCCGCAAGATACATTGCTGCAAAATGTTTTTTAGTTTTCTTTATAAAGGCCAACATTTTAATTTCTGTTTTTTTTTCAGCTGAAGCTGAAACAATATGAAGTATCCATACAAATTTCGGACTAATGCTAGTGTTGTAGTGCTATCGCTCTGGGGTACCATGCCGCAGTTTAACATGGATACCCCACTCGGACAATATACTGACTCCGAGCCGACCAGGGGGTTTCATCCCCAATTGCCGAGCGGCAGGCAGAGTAACATGAAGTACCATCTTTAAACGTCAATTGGTATGACGCGGCCAGGGATCGAACCACGCACCTTCCGTTCTCCAGGAGGACGCTCTATATGACATCGATATAACTTACCATTATACACTTCAGGCGCTTCTGTTACCGGTTGATCTGTGAAACAAGGTAAATATGCGATGCTTATTCAAATTAAACACGAATAAAACAAAATTGCGGTCACAATACTTAGTAGCTTTGAATGTGGTTAGGTCATATCAAAAGAGAGCGTTTTATTGCCTGGATACAACACGCCATGTTGGACAGTCCTAAAACACTCTACACCCGCGTCTGGTGAGTGAGTAAGTATGGTTTTACGCCGCTTTTAGCAATATTCCAGCAATATCACGGCGGGGGACACCAGAAATGGGCTTCACACATTGTACCCATGTCGGGAATCGAACCCGGGTCTTCGGCGTGACGAGCGAACGCTTTAACCACTGGGCTACCCGACCGCCCCTGAAACAATATGAAGTCTCCATACAAATTTCGGATTAATGCCAGTATTGTAGTGCTATCGCTCGGGGGTACCATGCCGCAGTTTAACATGGATACCCCACTCGGACAATATACTGACTCCGAGCCGACCAGGGGGTTTCATCCCCAATTGCCGAGCGGCAGGCAGAGTAACATGAAGTACCATCTTTAAACGTCAATTGGTATGACGCGGCCGGGGATCGAACCACGGACCTTCCGTTCTCCAGGAGGACGTTCTATATGACATCGATATAACTTACCATGATCCACTTCAGGCGCTTCTGTTACCGGTGGATCTGTGAAACAAAGTAAATATGCGATGCATATTCAAATTAAACACGAATAAAACAAAATTGCGGTCACAATATTTAGTAGCTTTGAATGTGGTTAGGTCATATCAAAAGAGAGCGTTTTATTGCCTGGATACAACACGCCATGTTGGACAGTCCTAAAACACTCTACACCTGCGTCTGGTGAGTGAGTGAGTATGGTTTTACGCCGCTTTTAGCAATATTCCAGCAATATCACGGCGGGGGACACCAGAAATGGGCTTCACACATTGTACCCATGTCGGGTATCGAACCCGGGTCTTCGGCGTGACGAGCGAACGCTTTAACCACTAGGCTACCCGACCGCCCCTGAAACAATATGAAGTCTCCATACAAATTTCGGATTAATGCCAGTATTGTAGTGCTATCGCTCGGGGGTACCATGCCGCAGTTTAACATGGATACCCCACTCGGACAATATACTGACTCCGAGCCGACCAGGGGGTTTCATCCCCAATTGCCGAGCGGCAGGCAGAGTAACATGAAGTACCATCTTTAAACGTCAATTGGTATGACGCGGCCAGGGATCGAACCACGCACCTTCCGTTCTCCAGGAGGACGCTCTATATGACATCGATATAACTTACCATTATCCACTTCAGGCGCTTCTGTTACCAGTGGATCTGTGAAACAAGGTAAATATGCGATGCTTATTCAAATTAAACACGAATAAAACAAAATTGCGGTCACAATATTTAGTAGCTTTGAATGTGGTTAGGTCATATCAAAAGAGAGCGTTTTATTGCCTGGATACAACACGCCATGTTGGACAGTCCTAAAACACTCTACACCTGCGTCTGGTGAGTGAGTGAGTATGGTTTTACGTCGCTTTTAGCAATATTCCAGCAACATCACAGCGGGGGACACCAGAAATGGGCTTCACACATTGTACCCATGTCGGGAATCGAACCCGAGTTTTCGGCGTGACGAGCGAACGCTTATACCAAAAGGCTACCCGACCGCCCCTCCCGCGTCTGGTGTTAAGTAGGTTATAATGTCTAACGTATAGCAGCTTACAATATATATGTATAAGTTTAAAATCGAAAAATGCACGTGAACATAGACACTAAACACTGAAGTATGCTGCACACTGACACGAAAGCACCGTGACACTTAAAGCATGTGCGTGGAAACTGAGTTTCCAAATCGTTGTTGTTTGTTTGTTGATCAACGCCGGACTCAGCAATATTCCAGCTATATGACGGCGGTCCGTAAATAATCGAGTCTGGACCAGGCAATCCAGTGATTGACATAATGAGCATCGATCCACGCAATTGTGATACGATGACATGCGTCAACCAAGTCAGTGAGCCTGACCACCCGATTCGTTAATCGCCTCTTACGACAAGCAATATACATATATGGCAAGCATGGGTTGCTGAAGATTTCTTCTACCCCGGATCTTCACGGGTCGCTTCCTTACGGCACATGGGGTAGACTAGATACGAACAGTATACATATGCACGTGTAACCTGTCAAAGCAGACATCAGATCTGTAATACTTCCTCGAACACATACACGATCATGTGTAGGTCGACGTGACAAACACAAGTATAGATCGGGTTCACATACACATGCATGTGTGGTGCCATTTCTGACAAGAGTACACGTGAAGAGTCGTTACAGACACACGCACGTGCTTAGACGTTAAAACTAGACTCGTGCACGTGTGCGCCGCCTTTACAGACACAGTGGACATGGCCATCGCCGTTACAGACACATACATTTGTACATACCCGTGTACGCCGGCGTCAAATATACATGCACACCGACGTCAGATATACATGCACACCGACGTCAAATACACATGCACACCGACGTCAAATGTACATGCACCCCGACGTCAAATATTCATGCACACCGACGTCAAATATACATGCACACCGACGTCAAATACACATGCACAAAGACGTCAAATGTACATGCACACCGACGTCAAATATACATGCACACCGACGTCAAATATACATGCACACCGATATCAAATATACATGCACACCGACGTCAAAAGTACATGCACACCGACGTCAAATATACATGCATACCGACGTCAAATATACATGCACACCGATATCAAATATACATGCACACCGACGTCAAATATACATGCACACCGACGTCAAATATACATGCACACCGACGTCAAATATTCATGCACACCGACGTCAAAAGTACATGCACACCGACGTCAAATACACATGCACACAGACGTCAAATATACATGCACACCGACGTCAAATATACATGCACACCGATATCAAATATACATGCACACCGACGTCAAATACACATGCACACCGACGTCAAATATACATGCATACCGACGTCAAATATACATGCACACCGATATCAAATATACATGCACACCGACGTCAAATATACATGCACACCGACGTCAAATATACATGCACACCGACGTCAAATATTCATGCACACCGACGTCAAAAGTACATGCACACCGACGTCAAATACACATGCACACAGACGTCAAATATACATGCACACCGACGTCAAATATACATGCACACCGACGTCAAATATACATGCACACCGACGTCAAAAGTACATGCACACCGACGTCAAATATACATGCACACAGACGTCAAATACACATGCACACCGACGTCAAATATACATGCACACCGACGTCAAATATTCATGCACACCGACGTCAAAAGTACATGCACACCGACGTCAAATACACATGCACACCGACGTCAAATATACATGCACACCGACGTCAAATATACATGCACACCGACGTCAAATACACATGCACAAAGACGTCAAATGTACATGCACACCGGCGTCAAATATACATGCACACCGACGTCAAATATACATGCACACCGACGTCAAAAGTACATGCACACCGACGTCAAATATACATGCACACCGACGTCAAAAGTACATGCAAAAAGACGTCAAATATACATGCACACCGATATCAAATATACATGCACACCGACGTCAAATATACATGCACACCGACGTCAAATATACATGCACACCGACGTCAAATATTCATGCACACCGACGTCAAAAGTACATGCACACCGACGTCAAATACACATGCACACAGACGTCAAATATACATGCACACCGACGTCAAATATACATGCACACCGACGTCAAAAGTACATGCACACCGACGTCAAATATACATGCACACCGGCGTCAAATATACATGCACACCGGCGTCAAATACACATGCACCAAGACGTCAAATGTACATGCACACCGACGTCAAATACACATGCACATCGACGTCAAATATACATGCACACCGACGTCAAATATACATGCACACCGACGTCAAATATACATGCACACAGACGTCAAATATTCATGCACACCGACGTCAAATACACATGCACAAAGACGTCAAATGTACATGCACACCGACGTCAAATACACATGCACACCGACGTCAAATATACATGCACACCGACGTCAAATACACATGCACACCGACGTCAAATATACATGCACACCGACGTCAAAAGTACATGCACACCCACGTGAGATATACATGCACACCGACGTCAAATATGCATGCCACCGACGTCAAATATACATGCACACCGACGTCAAATATACATGCACACCGATATCAAATATACATGCACACCGACGTCAAATACACATGCACACCGGCGTCAAATATACATGCATACCGACGTCAAATACACATGCCCACAGACGTCAAATATACATGCACACCAACGTCAAATATACATGCACACAGACATCAAATATACATGCACACCGGCGTCAAATACACATGCACACAGACGTCAAATATTCATGCACACCAACGTCAAATATACATGCACACAGACATCAAATATACATGCACACCGACGTCAAATATACATGCACACCGACGTCAAATATACATGCACACCGACGTCAAATATACATGCACACCCACATCAGATATACATGCGCACCGACGTCAAATATACATGCACACCGACGTCAAAAGTACATGCACACCGACGTCAAATATACATGCCCACAGACGTCAAATATACATGCACACCGATATCAAATATACATGCACACCGACGTCAAATACACATGCACACCGGCGTCAAATACACATGCTCACAGACGTCAAATATACATGCACACCGGCGTCAAATATTCATGCACACCGACGTCAAATACACATGCTCACAGACGTCAAATATACATGCACACCGGCGTCAAATACACATGCACACAGACGTCAAATATACATGCACACCGACGTCAAATATACATGCACACAGACATCAAATATACATGCACACCCACATCAGATATACATGCACATCGACGTCAAATATACATGAAGCGACATGGTGATCCCCACTACATCAACAAACAACACTGTTGTTACCAGTGGAGAAGGTGTGGTCCTCGATAGTAGGGGAACTCGTGGGTACCGTCGTCATTAGCGACGTTGTGACATTGGGCGCTTCAGTGGAGAGATATTGGAGGGAGATATTGGAGGTTGATTTTTTTGCATATTTGTTTGCTTGTTTATTACACTGCACGCAGCATTATTTCAGCTATATGACGACGGCCTGTAAATCATTTAGTCTGGATCAGACAATCCAGTGATTGATACTTTGAGCACCGATCCTGACAACTCGATACATGAAGTCGCATCGGACGATCAGCATAGGTTGTTGGGGATCATTTCTAACACGGACTTATCACAGGGAAGAAATTCAGGAGTTTCACTGCATACACATTACACAGTATTGGGTAGATGAATGTTGTTAAACTTGATGGTCAGCAATATTTTAGCTCTGGAGGGGACCAGTCCTTGTATCAGCCCCTTAATGCAGGCGCAGGTAGTAAACAACAAGTACCATCTTTTAACCCCTTTTGGCATGACGCGACCAGGGATCAATCCCCCAACCTTCCGGTCTCTGGACGAACACTCTACCACTAGACCACGGGGGCGGTCTCTACTACTTAAAATACATTAAAGAACACCCAGTTATTTCATATTATAAGTTAATATGAAATAATAGGGTTTCTCTAACTTCTTTTGAGTAGTATTTAAAACCACGGCCTGAAAACCAGTGATTGAAAGCATGAGCAGCGCCAATGACACTCAACCTAGTGTAAGAACTTGACGACCTCGTCCTCTATTATAGCCTCCTCTTACGGCAAACATGGCGCATTGCGGATCTATTTTGACCCACATTCCATATCAATTATCCACTCAATGAAATATGAGTTCACAGTTATTAATATTGATTATGAGTGCATTCCGGTAATTTAAATTTATCGATTTATTTTTTTCGCTTTAAATATGTGAACGATTGAATACGTCCGTACCTGCGCAGTACTCGCAACATCTGGTTTCATCCTGTTTGATTTCTTTGCAGTTCTCGACGGGGGGACAAATCGGACGCTGACATTTGGCACCGCCATATTCCTTGCTGGGGTCAGGGGTCACGCACGTGCACACGTCGCATGGCGTAGGGTTGAAAATGTCGCCGATCTTGTAGTTGTGTCCAAGATAGGGGCAGGTGTAGTTGGCCGGGTGGGCACACATGTGGCCGCATCCGTTACTGCAGCACTTCTGCTTCCCGGGACATTCCGAGTCCACTTCACATGTCTCTGCGCATGTACCGACGGAAGTTGGAGTCAAGGGCGGACAATCGCCTTCCTTCTCTGGCTCGGGGACACCTGTGGATCAAACGTCTGTTGTTTACAGTGAAAACATGCGATATGTGTTCCTCCACTTCATTAGTGAACCTGAAGGTGAATACGATACCAATTTCCACTGGAAAGGGTATATATTTATATTTGATTCAATCACGATCGTAAAATGTGTTTCTGAAAGAAGATTGACATTTAGTACTCACGTCGCTCACAATTCCTCCCCATGTAACCATGGATACAGTGACATCTGGCTTCCCCCTCCTCAGCAGCGCAATACCCGTAACTTCCACAACCGTTTTCACAGACAGCTGGAGACATAAAAGTGAGTGAATGAATGTTGTTTTCCACCGCAGTCGGCAGTGTCCCCTCCGTATCCCGGCGTCTTGTGTTTAATCCCATATGGGCTAGGGTTTCTCTTTTTTCAAAAACGAATTATTTCCTACAATGTATGGGGAATTGCATACAATCTCAACGTTGGCAAACTAGTGGTTGATGGTATGACCAGCCAGTAACGCCATCGGGACATTATCCTACATTGTCAGCTAGATGACAAATTGTAAAACGGATTTGCATTAGCCAGCTCTTACGACAAGAATAAAGTACTGGGTTCCCTGTATTCCACCCCGGTATCCGCATTGGTGATAACATGGATCTTTTGTGTCACTGACTATTCACCCCCGTGAAGATCCGTGTTAGAATTGGTCTTCAGCAACCCATACTTGTGGTAAGAGGCGATTAACGGGATCGGGTTGTCAGGCTCGCTGACTTGGTTGATGTGTGTCATCGTATCCCAATAAGGTAGATCGATGATCATAAAGTGAATCACTGGATTGTCTGGTCCAGACTCGATTATGCCGTCATACAGCCAGAATATTGTTGAGTGTGGTGTTAAACAACGATCAGGGCCTGACTTCCACAGAGGGGTACAAAAAAGGTTACTGCTGAAACATGCATTCGTGACCACTCGCCCCTTTCCGTAACCTGCAAGAAGTCACGCGGCATGTCCGGAATTACACGAGTGATCACGAATGGCCTGCCTTACAGGTGTCCGGGAAAAATAACACGGGAGACAACTCAGACTTTCCAAGTCTATAAGGAAATGATTATCAGTTAAAATCATGCCACAGATTAAATAGATATGAACAAGTTGTCCCTATAAAAGATTTTCGTCCTTAGACTGGTTATCTGGACTTGCCTATTTTAAGGAAAGACTTACTATACACTCATGGAATTATCATTCAGTACAGCCTTGGGGCAGGCCAGAGGCAACTCTGAATGGTATTTTATGGAATTTTTCAAATGTTATGAGGAGCTAGCTACTCACGGTTCTCGCAGCGGGTTCCATTGAAGTCATCTGAACACACACAGCGTGGACGTCCCTCGAAGACACTGCACATGCCGTCGTTCATACACTCGAGCTCACACCGAACTGAGGAAGAAACAATGAGATGTCACCGGAGAGGCAACAAGGACTCCAATGATTTTGTGTGTTTGCACCATTCGTGTTTGTAATACCCCTAATTAAGAATCTTGCAATTCCATTCGTTAATCCGTACCACGTGACGAAACATTTCAATGTATTTCCCGAAATGATATGACTGACATTGACCTCGAATAGTGACTCGTCACATGATCAGTATTGACCTGTTACGTGTTGAATATTGACTCGTCTGCAACATTTCACGGTTCGCAGCTAAGGTATTGTAATGGGGCTCGGGTGGCCCAGTCGTCTAAGGCGGCGCGATTCGCTGTGCAGAGTTGCGTCCTTTGGAAATCTATGATTGCGGGTTCGAATTCCGGTTCGACCCGATTATGTTTCTAGGTTTGTCAGCACCATACCCGTGCTCGTGTGTTTCACCGAAGTGGTAAACGTCTGAGACCTGCATCACTTCGGGCTTTCTTCCCACATTAAGCTTATACGCCGCGATATAACTTGAATAATGTTAAAAGCGGCGTTAAACCCAACTCACTCACTCACTAAGTTACTGTAATTAAACAGAGAACGGTTTAAGACTTCAATAACTATAAAGTGAATTTCAGTATAACAAAACGAATGACTACTCTTGACGAGGTCCATAGGCGAAAACAAGGACCCTTGGACCCGACCCATCATCTTGGACCCGACACATCATCTCAGTGGTCGGGTCCTCGGTCCTTGTCTTCGGATATTGACCTCGTCGAGAGTAATTGTTTTTTTGATATTGTCTCTGAGTGGCGAGGGAGAGGCTCACCTTCCTCGCATCTTGTGCCGGTGTACATGGAGGGACATTCACATTTTGGGCCCGAGTCGCCCTGCACGGCCGTTCCTCCGTTCATACACTCGATGGCGGGTTTAGGGTCCTCACCTGCAACAGAAACGCGCCCATTAACTTCAGCATCAGAATTGGTATCAACATTAATATGAACATCAACTTCAGCATCACCATCACCATAAACGTGAACATCAGCATTGACATTGACGTCAACATCAGCATTGGCATTAACTTCAACATCAGCACTGACAGCTTGAACATCAGTATTGACATTGACTTGAACATCAGTATTGACATTTACTTGAACATCAGTATTGACTTTGACTTGAACATCAGTATTGACATTGACTTGAACATCAGTATTGACATTGACTTGAACATCAGTATTGACATTGACTTGAACATCAGTATTGATATTGACTTGAACATCATCACTGACATTGACTTGAACATCAGTATTGGCATTAAAATGAACATCAGTATTGACATCGACTTGAACATCAGTATTGACATTAACTTCAACATCATCACTGACATAAACTTGAACATCAGTATTGGCATTAAAATGAACATCAGTATTGACATTAACTTGAACATCATCACTGACATAAACTTGAACATCAGCATTGACATTGACGTCAACATCAGCATTGACATTTACTTGAACATCAGTATTGACATCAACATCGACATCGTTCAGGATTGTGTACAATCAAATTCATCTCACAGTATGACTTAAAGCTTTGTGGTTTGTTTGAAAGAAATAAAGCGTTTTTTTCCAGGAACCTTTATCAACGAAAGTAAAACCAGTTTTCAACTCACGGATGGAACAGGTCCCCAAGTCTTCGTCCACCTTCCATCCGGGGCAGCAGGCGATGTAGCAGCGGAACATGATGCAGGTGTACGTCTCCTCCTTCTCACACCACTTCACGTTAGAGTACCTACGTCGGTATCGGCTGCAACATCGGATACGGAAACACTTTAAAACACATGACCAACCAACACTCGGAATGTGGAATCTATTTTATGGTCTCTGATTTCACCAAAGAAAAATAATTTTTAAAATCCAGCTGAAACCGCATACTGACTTACAATCTCCAGAAGTTGGCATAGTAGTCGGACGAGCGCCGTCGCCTTGACAACGCGCCATCCTCGTGCTCATCTTCCGGCGCGTCGGTGCTGTCTTCCTGACTGTCTTCCTGACTGTCTTCATCCGGGCAGGGGTAATAGACGGTCCGGGTACAGTTGTCTACCTTGGTCTCCGTGTATCGGCAAATATGGTTAACGACGCGGCGGCGACCACCGTAACTACAATGAAAGTATTTCGATGATATTGTAAAGAGACTTTAATTATTTGCTAACCCCCTTTTGCTATGCGGGATTCTGGGGTCCATTTAGAGGGTATGCGGGACTCAGCAGTGTGGCAAATAAAATCGTATTTGGTAAGCAAATTCAACATTTAAGCAGAAGTAATGTATGTATAAATTTCCTTCATATCATGCATTTTTTTATATTTTTCAATAGTTAACTTCAAATCGCGCCCCTTTCTCAATGCTTTACATATAGTAGTATTAGGGATTCAGGTGTGGGCATTGAGGTGTGTGAGGTGAAATGGGGTTTAACGTCGCATCCAAGATTATTGCACTTATATAGCAACGTGCATGTTCGTGTGTGTGTGTGGCTGCTTGTACTAGTCCGGACTGATGCCGATTTATAGTGCTAGCCCACTGAGATACCATGCCGCAGTTTAACATGAATACCCCACTCAGACACAGTATACTCACTCCGAGCCGACCAGTCCTTGTTTTAGCCCCTTAATGCCGAGCGCCAGACAGGGTAACAACAAGTACCATCTTTTAACGTCTTTTGGTATGACGCGGCCGGGAATCGAACTCCGGACCTTCCGCTCTCCGGGCGGACGCTCTACCACTAGACCACGTGTGGGCATTGAGACTTTGGGCAATGTGAGGCATTGAAAAGTAGATGATGTTTGGGATTCGGGGGTGGGGTGGGGTAGGGAGGGGTGGGGATTAGCTCTTCTCTGGGACTGATAACTGACATAGATGTATATACAATGCACCCAGGGGGAGTTTTGACTAGAATCTCCTCAGCAACCCCTGCTGGTTATAAGAGCCGACCAAATCGGGTGGTCCGGCTTGGCGACTTGCTTGATGGCGTGTAATCGTACCCCGGCGGCGTGGATAGTTGCTCACAATATCAATCACTGGATTGTCTGGTCCAGACTAGATTACTTACAGGCCGACGTCAAGCAGCTGGATAACTGCTGAGTGCGGCTTTAAAAAGCAAACAAACAAAATGTTTTTTTAAGTTTTAGGGAGAAGCAAGTTTGACCACTGTCTCAAGTTCAACTAAGGGGCGGTCGAGTAGCCTAGTGGTTAAAGTGTTCGCTCGTCACGCCGAAAACCCGGGTTCGATTCCCGACATGGGTACTATGTGTGAAGCCCATTTCTGGTGTCCCCTGCCGTGATATTGCTGGAATATTGCTAAAAGCGACGTAAAACCATACTCACTCACTCATGTTCAACAAGCTGCTGCCATATGGTGGGACCTGACCTTACTCGCTAGACTACAGTACAAGATATCTCATTAAATGGACAGCCCAGTCATACATAGCTTATTCGGATTGTAGAACAGAATTTAAAAACTGTCGGAAATAACAGGTTTTGATCAAGGATATCGTTGCAAGCGTCGACCCAGCGTTTGAAAATGGATGGAGCGTTTGTGATTTAGAATTCGCGTTTAGTAATGTGTCATTTATTAACAAATGTATCACTAAATATGTTATAAGATAGTGTTGTTAAACGTTTACGTTTAGTATTGCCGCTTACCTATAACGTTTCCGATAAATAAATGTTTCGCGTGTGACTCGGTTACAAGTATTGTCACATATTATACTGCTATATGTCATCAGCATTGAGCTGCTGGTAGCTCTGTTCCTATTTTGCACTCGTGGCACAGATAGATGTAAGCCTTGATGGCGGTACCTTTCGCTGATAAAACCTCTCGTTACAAAGGCGTTATGTTCAGATTGCATGACCTCATACAAAGCCCCGCGTTCGTTATTGACAGACCCATACACAAGTACAGCTCCAGGCCTATCACACTCTGTACACGTGTAGACGGGCGTGACTGATCCCCGGGTATCCAATAGCTGGAGCATAACATAAATAACGATTCATGCAACGTGACCCACTTGGCACGTGACCTAACAACAAAGCCCAACACACTCCAAAACATCACACAGTTAACAACAGACGAAGTTTGTATTATTTTTTGCACACATGCTGCATGATTCTACATTTTTTAGTAGTTTTTTTGTCGTATTTAGTGTACAATTCTATACTGCCATATACCGGTACGTTAAACTTAAGACCCGTGAAGATTACGGGGTAGAATAGGTCTTCAGCAACCCATGCTTGCCGTAAAAGGTGACTCTGCTTGTCGTGAAAGGCGACTAACGGGATCGGTTGGTCAGGCTCGCTGCCTTGGTTGATGCATGTCATCGATCCCAATTGCGTGGATCGATGCTCATGATATTAATCACTGGGTTGTCTGGCCCTGACTCGATTATTTACAGACCGCCGTCATATAGCTGGAATATTGCTGAGTGCGGCGTTAAACAACAAACAAACAAACGAAACAAACGTTAAACTTTAACCTAAAAACTGTTCAGCTTTTTCGATGACGTTGACAATGGCTGCTCCTGTTGATGGTTTTCCTTTCGTGCATAGTGAAGGGGACGATCACTGGAACGTCGCGGACACCGTTGTCACCATTACGCAACGACGTTGTCAACACGACAGACTGTTACTGCAAACGCGTGCAAGTATAGCAAGTTAATCATTCTAAACTCGTTAGACCCCGATTAGAATTGATCTTCAGCAAGCCATGCTTGTAAGATGTCAGGCTCGTACTACATCGTATCCCAATTGCGTAGATCAATGCTCATGATGTCAATCACTGGATTACTCTATTACGTACAGACCGACGTCAAATAGCTGGAATAATGCTGAGTGCGGATTTTAACAACAAACAAACAACGCATGCCCCGTCCGTTTGGGGGAGATAAGATAGGTCCAAATACCCTATTGCGCCTGCGACGTATAACAACATTCACTCCTGGCACGAACTGTTTTCTGATACACGTTTGTGTTAACTGCAGTCATACCGTCAACGTCTTTCGCCTTTCTGCGCTTTTGAAAGAGCGTTATATAAACACGAATTTGGCATATGTCCATCACATTCTTCAAAATGCTTTTGTTATATATAAAGCCGTGTATATAAACTAAAGCTCAGTGAAGCATAACTAATATCTTGCATTAGCAAGTGACCCGTAACATACAGCCAGGTATAGGTACAGGTATGGAGCCTACCTGGCATTCGTCAGCACTCGCCCCTTTCCGTAACCTGCAAGAAGACTCGTCCCCCTCTCGATGAATGTTATGTGCGAAAATACGACAAACCAATCAGAGTGCGCGTATGATTTCAAGTACTTCGTCAAAGAATCCCTCAGAAATAATTTTTGATTTTACATATGTCTTGCATCCAAAAATATACCAAAGACACAGTTAAATGTGTTCAATCATATTGTATAATTCTGCATGTCCCGATGTGCTTTAAAAGGCATCTGAAATATATATAATATATGGGGAAATATATGTGAACCATTACGCAACGAATTGACAATTGTTTTAGTTATGCCCGTTTGCGCTAAGACGGAACCCGGTCGCAAAAATGGCCACGAGAGGGGCACGAGTCGCTATTCGGCTTGTCCCGGAATAACACGAGTTGGTCACGAATGCCTACCTGGCTATCCAGGTTGTTCCCAGCGGTTACGCTAATCACAATTGTGTGCGCCAGTCCTTGTGCGGGGTATCAGTCATGTCATAAATCTACATACTGCTTTGGTGCTTTATAAGAGGTTTTTATGTGTTTTAGCGTCACGTTAATGTGCTATATTCGACAACAACAATAAAACGCTATTTAGCTATAAGAATCACGCCATGTGATATATACACGGTGTTCACTTATGTTATACATGCATAGGTATTGCTGCTATGGACGCTGTTAAAGTCGGCGTTATTGTTGAGCGCGGCTATGGAATATATTTTTCTACGGAAAGCTATTTGACACGCTGTTTGAACAGCATGCACAACTTGTCACGGAAACATTAATTGGTCACGTCAGCTTGGTAATCCTGAGATCCAGGGTGAGTCAGAACTACCCGATCCGTCTATTCTGGGTAGAATTCGGGGTGTTGCGATCAGGCCTCGGGTTACGAGATCACACGTGTCTGTATGTTATGAGATGGGGAGACAGAAATACCTTTTATCATATGGAGGCCACATGCATCTTATAGACACATAGGGGAGGTGGAGGCCCGTAACATACCAGCCAGACATGGGGTGGTACAGATTGAGGCCCGTAACATACCAGACAGACATGGGATGGTACAGATTGAGGCCCGTAACATACCAGACAGACATGGGATGGTACAGATTGAGGCCCGTAACATACCAGACAGACATGGACTTATACAGATTGAGGCATTTAACATCTAGGAAAGACATGGGGTCATACAGATTGAGGCCTTTGACATCTAAGACAGACATGTGGTTATACAGACAGGGGCCTTTAGCATCTAAGACAGACATGGAATTATACAGATTGAGGCCTTTAACATCTAAAACAGACATGGGGTTATGCCGACTGAGGCATTTAACATCTAAGACAGACATGGGGGTTATGCAGATTGAGGCATTTAACATCTAAAACAGACATGGGGTTATGCAGATTGAGGCATTTAACATATAAGACAGACGTGGGGGTTATGCAGATTGAGGCCTTTAACATCTAAGACAGACATGGACCTTTTACAAAACAGGATGGGACCTCTCAAGTCTCAAATAAGGGGTTATATGAACTGGAGCCTTAAACATCCTAGGCAGACATGGGGTTGTAGAGGTTGAGAAGGCTGACATTTCACAGACATGGGGTTGTAGAGGTTGAGACGGCTGACATCTCACACAGACATGGGGTTGTAGAGGTTGAGACGGCTGACATCTCACACAGACATGGGGTTGTAGAGGTTGAGACGGCTGACATCTCACACAGACATGGGGTTGTAGAGGTTGAGAAGGCTGACATTTCACAGACATGGGGGTTGTAGAGGTTGAGACGGCTGACATCTCACACAGACATGGGGTTGTAGAGGTTGAGACGGCTGACATCTCACACAGACATGGGGTTGTAGAGGTTGAGACGGCTGACATCTCACACAGACATGG